AGAACTTCAATCTTAATGTCTTGAACTTATATATCAAAGTTTGAAGCAAATAAAAAAAACTAGAAGATGCAGTAATTACGACTTCTTGTAAATGCAGAAAAATGCATTTTTTAAATCACTTTTTATCCTTCCTGCTCCACTTCACCCATCTTCTGTGTTGGCATCCCTTTCTATTCATGCTTTGTGTCTGCGTTATGGTCTGCCTTCAGAAATGTACTTTAGGAGCTGAGTACATGGACAACGTGCAGTTTGTATTGAAGTGAATGCGAGCTCAGCTGTGGAGCATCCATCGATTAGGGTTTCAAATTTGAAAACATGAAACCTCAATTTAGAAGCAGCAGAACCTCTTTATCAGCAACAATCAGAGTTGTGTAACAGTTGAAAGGTGATCAAACACAATACTGGAAACCACTGGACGTGTAAAGATGGTGTTCCTCTGCTCTCTTAAGTTCACCCTGTGGCTAACAGTCTGGTGCTTTTCCCCGAGGAGAAAGGTAGCAGTCGCATCAGCCAGCAGAGAATACAGAAGAGGAATAAGACGCTCACTGTACTGTTCCACAGGGAATAAAACCGCCACCCGTTAGTGCCTTGCTTCTGAGGACAAAGAACCTCAGCTGTTAACATCAAGATAAATCTTTAACCAGCGGCTGAAATATTCATCAGAAGCTCCAAAAATATCTGCAGCGGCTTCCACGAGCCAGGAGTCGTCTGCCTTCTGTTCATTAGACACATGTAACCTCCACCTGCCATCCACGCAGGAGTCTTGGACTAACAGCAAACCAGCAGAATAAATTCACATGAGTGTTGGAGTCATCGCAGCTTCAGGGTTGTGTTTCCTCACATCCTGCCCGTCTCTTACTAGTACCAGACAAAGGCTGAAGTGCAAAAAACTGCAATTCCTTTAATGGCCACTTGAAGCTGCCTCTAAAAATGAGTGAATTATCATAAACTCACATGTTAGGAGACCTAACAGCCTCTGTGGACAGCTTCATCCACTCATCCAACACTGGTGTTAGAGGGGCAGTTGCTGAAGGTTAACCACACTGTTGCGTTAGCAAAAGAGCCACCACCAGAGGGCGCTGTGAGATGCCTCATAAGCCGAACAAACTGTGCTGACAGGAAGAAGCTAAATAGTGGAAAAGTTTACCAATGGCAATAAAGGGGAGCTCGAATTATTCCACATTTAAGACTCATCTCAAACAAAGGCATCGTCAGTGTGTACAGTTTGTAGTTTCAGTACCTTTAGTTTGTAGTATTACTGCAGCATTACTGCGTTCTGTCAGGTTCGATCCTTGTCTCTCCGTTCTGTTTGTCACTTGGAGATTTTTGAGACAATGTGGCAGCCTGGACAACAGCCTGCAACACAGCAACACAGCAACTGTGAGGCAACACAGCAACTTGGAAGCAATGACAACGACAGGAAGTCGAAGATGCTCTCAGACCTTGAAGCTTCTCTTCCTCTTCTGGACGTTTTGCTCGGGATGGAAAACGATGACGTAAACTTTGGGCATGTAGAGCATCCCGAGAGAGACGGACGCACTGAGAGACATGGAGACGGTCAGAGTGGCCGTCTGGATGAACAGCTGTGGAAAGAGAGGCTGATGCTGAAGAACGGGTAACCTCTGTGCAAATTCATTACTTTGACTTCTAGCAACCCCGACGTCCAGCCGATTCACCAACAGTCACGATTTTTTAAACTTTTCATGGTCGAGGCAGATTTTTTTTAGAACTCTAATCAGCAGAAAATTGCTCAGTGGGATATCGGTGAACGCCCGGAGTTCAGTAAGCCTTTGAAACAGCCTGAAAAGAAGGATTTCAATCAATTTGTGACCAAATCAGGCTTAAAGGGACATTTTTTTAAAGGTTACGACTGGACGACCAGTTTGCTATTCGAATGTTTTACTGGTGAACCTGTGAAATATGCAAAAACACACACTGCAACACGGAGGTGTAATACAGTACTGGGTGTTGCTGTGCAGTTTACCAGTTTATGCTTCATGTGAAACAGGAAACATAGATGGAAATACAGAAACTAAGACAAAAACTGAACTGAAAGTCTGACAAGCTGGAAAATAAAAGTTTGTTATGAATAATTTTGTTCTTCAAGACATGCTGAAATCTCCAAGGCAGCTTTCTGTAATTTCTTAAGTAGTCTTCAGGAATAATTTGGTACCTCAGCTTCTTCCTGCCTCGCTTTTTACTGAGGCTTCAGCGAACAGTAGACAGATCAACTGACGGCTCAGATGTCCCGTGTCAGACTTTCAGATATGTTCATCTGCTGTAGATGTTTCTATACGCCTGTCACTTCTTCTTTTGTCCTCTACTTGTTTAGTTTCCTCACATTTGTAAGAGAACTGAGTGCTGAGATATGCCACGTTTTCAGCTACAACCTCTTTGTGAATCACGTCGTCGGTGCATAAATAATATTTCATGCCAGTCAAACTTTGTTATCTCTGCCATTTTGCCTGGATTCAGCTAAAGAAATGTGAGTACATTGTGTGTTAGTAGCAGTGCCTGTTATGTGTAGACACTACACTTCCATAGAGAGTTTTTTATGCCTGAATGATTCATTGGTCAACGTTAAGATCTTTAATGAATAAAAAAACAATGAGGTACAGAAACTGGACTGAAAATGAGAGAAAAAGCAGCGAATGTCCAAAGAAAAACCTCTTCAGAAAGCCTGAAGAGCGATGGTTCGAGACCAGTTTAAAGAAATAACTCTGGCTTGTTGGAAGCAAAAAATAAAGAAAGGAAGAGACATGTGAGGACATAAAATACATACAGCCAGAGATGGGCGCGTTACTGTAATCTGATTATTTTTTTAAAGTAACGAGTAAAGTAAGGGATTACTATCGCAAAAACAGTAATTAGATTAC